CCGTGGTCAAGGGGTCACATTCAGTGATGTGCCAGACCCCTCCTGGTTCTTTGCTGCCCTCTCAGGCCAGAGCCCCTATGAGTGTGAGGACACAAGGGTCTCATGGTACAACCCACCCGCCCAGGCAGGCGTCCTCTTACACCATGATCCCATTCCAGAGCAGGTCCGGCCTCCACGCACACAGCTGTGATGAGCAGCCTACTCTTACCTAATGGTTCCCTCAAGCTTTAGGGAACTTTGCCGGAATGTCCTCTCCGTAGAGCTTCCTCTATCCAGTACCACCAGGCACCATCACTCCCTCCTCAATGGTTTTCTTTCAACCTTGCTGGGGCCGTACAGATCTTCACTACATGCTGAGAACAAAGGCAGGTACCACACAGCATGTTCAGCATGTGTGTCTTCAAATCCACAGAACCCTCTGCAAAGATGTTCACAAAATCCAACACCTCTTAGGATGATGGGATTGCAGACAACTTTTCCTCTCATCTTTGTACTTTCATTGGTTGCTTACATTTTCTAGATATATAATACGATCAAAGCAAATACTTTTTGGAAAAAACAAATGAAGAAATCTAAGCACACCCCAAACTAAAGCTGGAGGAGCTCCGCTGAAGCTCATGGATGCAGGACAAGGGGCTGTGGCAGTGGCTGCGCCATCCTGCAGCTCTGGCCTTTCCTGTTTCACAGGAGCTGTCCATTCCTCCCAGCACTCTGAACACCAGGGGAGCAGGGAGCTTCTTCGCAGCTCCCCAGTCACTTAGCAGATGCACAACACACCTCACCTCTTACCTGACAACTGCAACCCCCCACCCCGCCTCATTTTCTGCTCCTCTTGCACCATCCCATCACTCAACATAGCAAATCGATTATGTTACTCTTTGACCTACAAAGCCTCGCGCCGTCTGGCCCGCTGGCCTCTCCAGCCTCCACACCTTCCACCACCTCCTTGGCTCTCGTGCTCCGGTCATTCTGGCCTCCGTTCAGTCCTTCCAACATTCTTTTCACTTGCTGCTCCCTGTGCCCGGAGTGTTCTTCTCTCTGATCTATACTTTGTCAGTGAGGCCTCAGATTAAACATCACCTTGTCACACAACTTCCCCAACCTCCTGACACGTACTCCTTCACACCTGGGGAATTCACACCTGCTGCCACCTGGTTGTATTTCCTCCCTAGCACTAGGCCACCTGAGATCACCAAACTTCTCTACCCTTTTGTCTCCCAGCCTCCTCAGAATAGAATCCCTGCCGGGCAGGAGCCTTGTTGGTCCTGCTCACCTCTGTACCCTCAGCACAGAGCCCAGGGCTGCTTTACATACAATAGGCTCCCAGGAAGACGTTTGTGGGGATGAATGAATTTACCCTAGACTGACTTGCCGTGAGTCACAAAGTCTAAGGGTAAAACCATGTGTCATTTCCCACAGAAGCAGGCAGTACACATCAGCAGCATCTGGTCTTGGAAACTGTCCTCAGCAGAGAGGATTGGCAGGGGCCTCTGCCCAGAGCTGGCTCACAGGAGCCCCCAGTCCGTGGCTGTTGAATGCAGTCTGCTCTCAGCCTGACATTCACTGAGCGTTTGATCTGTGCCAGGCACCGAGCATAGCACTTTACATTTACTCTCTTGAAAACCACCCTGTGAGGTAGGTACCATTTCCTCCATTTTACAGAAAAGGAGACAAACAGACTGGCCTATACAAGTGGCAACGTTAGGACTTAAGCACAGGCTGTGTGATCTCAGAGCAGGCACTCTTAGAGATTCCTGCCTCAGAACATGTCAGCTTTGGGGGCAGGGGGAGATGTCAGCCAAAGCCACCTACCCTCTGTGTCCTCTGGAGAGACAGAGCCTTATTCTTCAGCTAGCACGCTGGAAAGACACAGTGCCTCAATAATAAGGTCTCACAGGTGTGGTGGTGAGAACATGGCCTGGATTCAAGGGCCCGGCCGTTTGCCACCTGGATAACTTAGTTTCTCTGTACCTGTTTCCCCATCTGTAACACGAGACCAGTACCTACACCTCAAGTCCGTTGTGTGTGAAAGTACCTAGCCTCGCCTCGGCCTGTGGCACGTGCTCACTCAAAGCCAACTGAACCAACAGACACCTGCGGCCACACTAGTGTCTGTAGTGCCAGGGGACGCTCGGAGAGCCATCCACCCACCTCCACACTTGTTCAGTGAGGTCGTCGTAACAAGGTGGGCAGAGATCCTTGGGGCCACAGACCCAGCCTATAGCCAAACGGAAACCATAAGTATACGCTTCTTGGTGGGGTGAGATGCTCTCTGATGACCAAGGTCCTCTAGAGGAAGATCTCAGAAGCTGGGGCCAGCAGACGAGGCTTTGAGTCTTTCTCTACCACCAGCTGCAAGGTGACATTGGGCAAGTAGTATTCTCTCGGGGCCTTTTCTCCATTTTTGTAAACCAATGGTGAAAGTCAAATATTCTTCCCTATTATTGTCACTTCTCATCCACAAGGCTAACAAACAAGCAAAGGCAGCATATCCAGACTCAGCAGAGTTAAGCTCAGAGGGAGACAGACTGAGAAGAAGCCTGGCTATGTTGGACGCATACCCAAACCTTAAGCACGACGCAAATGCAGCAGGCAGAAATGAGTTTATTGCATTAGAAAAAACATCAAAGAAAACCAGCAAACACCTCCGTACTAGACACAGTCATTAGTTTGACTTCATGGGCAAAAAGGAATCTCAAAGGTACAAGCTTTATTTTGGGGAAGGGGTGAGGTCCATCCCTCCTCCTTCCCTGTCCCTTTAAACCAATGGACCTTGATGGAGGTGTCTACTGTATGATACACACATGGCTCATTTCTCACTCTGCTTGCCTCGCACACTTGTGTGGAGCTAGCTGGTCATAATGAGCACGCTCCTGAGGTTCTGGGATTGACAGAGAAATGTGAGGATTGGGTTGGCGGTCGTAGCCTGAGCCCAGGCTTCCAAAATGAGTGATAGTGGGACTTGGGTGGGAGGAGAGAGCTGGCCTTCCTGGAGAGCTCAGAGAAGGCTGCTTGCTGGCTGATCCCTCCATCTTTCCCCACAAGCCTAGAGCCCAGGCATTGGCACATACGGCTGCTGGGCATGAAGGGGGACTTTCAGTGAACCAAGTGACAGTCTCTCAGGGTAGCTACTTTGGCTAACTTCTCCTGGGTCTGGAGTGACTGCTATTAGGAGTGAAGCCAGCTGAGCCTGGATATGGGGGAGAAGAGAGAAGGAGACTGTGATGCCACACCTTCTGGCTAGAGCTGAGAGCCCTGGGAGGGAAAGTCTGGAACAGGAGCCTGGAAGAGACAGAGGGCTGGGCAAGGCAACCTGGAAAAGGAGAGAAACCTGGGTGGGAAGCAAAGGACTCCACTAGTAAGCTGCCTTCCCGGGAGGTACCCAGCCCGAAACCTATTCTCCGTGAGCCCAATTCTGCCAGTAGGTCAACATTAAATAACAGTCCCTGCTAGTTTTCTGCTCTCCAAAATGTCACTTGACATCACAGCTCGTCACCATGGAGGTGCCTCTGGGCAGGTCACAGGCAAACAGAAAGGCAGAAAATCACCTTTTCCTCTAGCCAAGCCCCTGATGACGCCAACTGCTATGGCTAATGGTAGAGACGGGAAGATGAGCAGCAGCTTTTTGAAGAGCAAAGGCACCTGCTGCAGGCCGGACCCCAGGAAAGAGAACATAATTCAAGTCTGAGAAGTGGCAGGAGCTGTGGCGGGAGGGACCCATAGATGCCAGGGCTGGGACTCAGGGACCTGACAGCTCTGAGACCCTTCTCCACACCCCCCCCCCAAAAAACTAACTTAAGGGAGGCATGTGTAGAAAAGGAATCTGAAAGCCTCTCCAGGTAAGAAACGTCCAGATTGGTCCTCCCTATAAGCTCCTAGCAGCAGCTCATTAGGAAAATGCCCAGTCAGGCTCTCAACAATGCATCCTTAAAGTCAGAATGACAACAGAAATAACATGTGCCTTCAAAACACACTGAGGATAATGTAAAAAATCTCTATCAGAAACAACTCAAAATTTGCTTGCCACCTTGATTCTGCATTATTATTCTATCTTTCTACATGAGGGATATTTTCCTAGAACAGGGAATCATTTCCCCTTGGTCCCTAGCTGAATATTGCATCTGGTCTGGGGGTGAAGGGGGGTGGTACAGGGACTACAAACAATCTACATTATTACTTGTAGACAATAGGCCTGGGTCTCTGCCGCTCCAGCCCAAACCTTCACAAACTACGAGGTCAGCCATGCTGAGGAAGAGCAGCCTGTAGCCAGCAAGGCAGGTTCTCCAAAATTGATGTCAGAGGATTGGCAATCAGTAGGTGGAAGGAAGAATGGCTTTATCCTGTTTTCTCTGGCCTGACACTTGCTGTCACTCTCCCCTGATCCTGAGGCTTTTGGTTGCTCCAGCCCTGGCCCCGTGGCCTTGCTTGGGGTAGGGAGAGGAGGTGAGAGAGGCTGTGGCTACAGAGTTCACTTAGGTTGGGTCAGTCATCCTGAAACTGGTCTCACGTGCACCAAATCCTTTGGTTCATTTAACACTAGAGAGGAACTGCTTCCGGGATGTTGCAATGGCTGCTTCGTGGATGTTGTAAAACTCACCTGCGTCCCACAGGTGGTGGCAACCTGGGTACAGCGTGGGCGTTCTCTGGAAAGAGGTTCTGGGTCGGGGCTCCCCCAAACCGTGCCTCTTGCCTTCTGCTTAAACAAACCCTCTCCCTTTCTCCAGTGTGGAGGATGCCTAGGAAGCAGCGTCAAGAGTGAACTCACAGACAAGACAGCCTTAATAAATTAGTATAATACTATTAGAAGGGATGGCATTTTGTTCTGTTTCTTAGCAGCATTGTCCTACATGCAGCCTGGTGATCTCCTTCCCTGGGAAATTTAAAAAGCCTTCCCCTGGTTGTTAGCTCTGATGTAAAATTACAAAATAGAAATCTGGTAGGGTTTGTTTTGTTTAAAAAGGAAAAGCCCCAGTGAGGCAGGGCGGTCCCATGCAGTCCTGTTAGCTCTGGCCGTTGGGTCGGCCCACGGGGCTCCCTCCAGGAGGCTGGATCTGAATGGAGTCCAGGAGGGGCCGCAGGGCCTGTCCGAAGGGCCTGTGGAGAAAAGAGACCCAGGGGCTTGGGTGGGCTGGGTGCAGACAGTCACAACCGCGCCCATGGGTACAGTGACGCCACCACACAGGGAAGAAGGACACCCATAACCTCACTCGCTTTTCTCACCTACCTCGCACATCACGTTCATGGAGGAGCCCTCAAAATGGCCTGCTCTGTGTTTTTATTCCTGGGGTCCCCCTCACCCCGCAGAGATGCTACCGCCTTACTACTTCACCTGTAGACCCTGGTTAGCTCTGGCTTGAACAGGCTAGCTGCATACAGGGAACTAGAGCTTTCTGACCTTTCTGCACTTGAATCTTTAATCCTCATGGTATACATGGATAAAAATAAAGTTTAAGTGAGGAAACTGAGGCAGAAGAAAAAGGATAAGAAAAAGGTATTTTCTAGGGAATACTCAGGAAAAATGACAAACGCAGGTTGCCAGGAGGTGTTAAGGCCACTTTCTAAAGGGCTCCCAGTTTGCTCTCAGAGTAACTTGGCTGGAAAAAAACACTGCAAATACTGGAACCTTAGAGACTTTTCAAAATTCCTAGAACCTTAAATCAGGGTACCCACAACACATCTCAGTTACTGGCTTTCTTTTTCTTTGGTGGATATTGCCATTTTTGAAAATCATGTCCAGGTTCAAAGGGAGCATTCTCAAGCGTAAACAGATGACACCAAGATATATTAACCTTAATTCAGACAAGTCCTGGAGCTTCACCCACCAAATAATAACAGCAAGAACATTCCAGCTACTTATACTTGCTTAGGGCCTCATAACCTAGATCCTTTAGTAAGGCTGTGAGGCTTAACACACCCACCAAGAAACGGGAAGGCAGAGGCAGGGCTGGGAGATGGGGCTTTCCTCACTAGATTGACACCGCAGCCTTGTTTCCCTTGCAAGTTTTTCCTAAGAGGTTTCTACCCAGGTGTGAAAAACAGCTCACCTTGCTGAGCCTGCTAAACCTGCCAGGATCTCTGTTGGACAGGGCCCCAGTTCAGGAGAAACTGAGTCAGGGTTCGCAAACAGACATGGTCCTGGAGTGGTTAGAGGCTTGCCTGAACACAACAGCAAAGGAAGGGAAGGGTGTGATGGCTTTGGGTGTGTGTGTGTGTTGTGTGTGTCCTTTCAGGGGACACTGCTTAGATGATGGCCCACAAAGCTCGGACCACATCAGGGTGGGAGGGGCTACAGTGCGTTCTTGAAGAAAACATCTACTGAGGTATGAGGGCAAGTAGGAGGCTGTCTCTGAGGGCATCAAAGAGCTCATGGTGCAGGGGAAGAAAGACTAACAAATGACATTCGCAAAATAAGCCACCCTACTAATCCTCTGATCTGTTCTCTGCCTGTCTATCTAAAAGTACACTTTATTTATTTATTTTTTAAATTTTTTTTTCAACGTTTATTTATTTTTGGGACAGAGAGAGACAGAGCATGAACGGGGGAGGGGCAGAGAGAGAGGGAGACACAGAATCGGAAACAGGCTCCAGGCTCCGAGCCATCAGCCCAGAGCCTGACGCGGGGCTCGAACTCACGGACCGCGAGATCGTGACCTGGCTGAAGTCGGACGCTTAACCGACTGCGCCACCCAGGCGCCCCTAAAAGTACACTTTATGCGAGGACTTCTGGGGAGTGGCACGCTTCATGAGATGCCAGGGCTCTGTACAAATGCTGGAGCCGGCATCAAGTGGATTTCTAAGTTCTGTGGTTGCACTCAGGCCAGGATAGAGTTGGTTCAACTCCAAGGAGGGTGAAGTATTACAGGCACGCATCAGTGAGTGGAGAGAATGGTGGCTTTACCTGGTAGCAGCTGCCATCATGACAGGGCCCACCTAGCTCGGGAGGGTTCTGCTGAGATCAGGGGCCAGACGAGCAGCACGGACCGTGAATGGGGATTTCAGGGGCTGGGGCAGAGACCGAAGGCCACTTACGTGGATAGAATTTCAGAGGGAAGGTCAGTGATGTAGGAAGGGATCTTCCGCCCGGTCAGGAACTGTGCCACTTCGTTGGTAAAGGTGTTACAGTTGTGTTCAAAGAGGTTGTAGGCCTCGCTTCTGTACATTGTAAGAAAGGTTTGAAGAACAGATCTGAGAGAGTCAGCAAGCACATATGTGAAATAACTCAAACCAGGAAATGGCATGGAGAGCATAGCTGAGTTAAGAGGACTGTGATTTTCCTTTTCTCATACACTCCAAAAGGACTGCTTGATTTGCCACTCTGGACCACAAAAACAGATTTTTAAGGGAAAGATGAAATAAAAATATATGGCTCCTCTACAGTTTCAGTAGAATCTTCACAGTCACAAAAGCAGAGCTCTAGTGTTAAACACTTACTACAATGACAATTGACTAAAGCTTAAGAGAAAACCTGCTCAAGTTGGCATTTCATCCAAATCCCTCCACAAACCCTGGTTTTGATTTTTCAGGACGAGATGCTGGCCCAGGATGGGTTGAGAACAGCAAGTGCTGAGACAGCAGCAGCTGATTTTAATCAGAAGGAATAAATAGCCCTTCCTGTCCTCAGGGTTTCAGCAGAAGGTATGCTGGGATGGGATATCTGCCTGGGAGCAAAGCTGAGCTCTTTCTGTGGCATGATAACTGCTTTCTCTTCCTATTTATTCAGCAAATACTGGGCCAGACCTTGTGCTGAGTGCTCTGGGCGATGTGACCTTGTGGCTGACCTCTGGGGCTGACCGTCTAGTGGGGGGACAGACACAACTAACCACCACCCCTGTCTCCACTCACCGGAACAGAGACTCCCCCAGGGAGGACAGGTATTCCAGAAAGAGTTCTTCTGTGACTTCTGTGCTCCCCACATCAACCACAGAGTCTGGGGGCCCAAGCAATGTCCCTCCCTAAAAGAGCCAACCCAAAGAAAGTCATTAAGTCACCATCTCCACTGAATTTTTTAATGTGGCTTCCCTTGGGAGACCACAGATGCTCTGTTCCAACGTTTACCTTTCAGAGCATCCAGGGCAGATGAAGAGTGTCATTTCCTATCTGTATCAAGGCTGCAATGGCTTAGAGCTTCCTGTTAACTCTCCATTGCCAAATGCTGGCAACGTGGCTAAGAAGCTGGGCTGCTTTCTTCTGGTGGGGCCCTGGGAAATTGAGTCTCTGGCCAGTCTCAGGCCAGACCCCTGACGCTGTCACCTCATCCAGTTGATAAAAAAATAGAAACCCAGAATCTGAAGTCTCCCTTTGTTCCCAACAGGCCTGATCCCAAGGGCACAAAAGGAGAACCAGAAATGGCTAGCACTTGACAGGCCATCTTTCCATGCCTATATTTAAGTGTATGCAGCCAGTTTTTTCTTGTGACACACTTGCTATCCCTTAGAACACTGGGCAAATGTGAAGACTGTGAGAAGTCTGGCAGGCTGGCAAACACTTCCACAATTTAGTTCTATTTTATCTGGGAGGCTAATCTAACAATGTCAATAGGGTTCCCCAGGCAAGGGAGTTAATGGCCCATGAAAGGCCTACAGGAAACCCTCCACCATGGGTTAATAGACTGCTATAGCAGACTAAAGGAGAGCCTGAGGCCAAGGGGAAAGCAGCCATGGGTGTGCAACAGATCACTGGGGAGGACAGAGCTGGGAATGGCTAGGGGGTAAGGGAGAGCACTCCTGAGCAGAACTCCCTGGAAAGATCATTAATTCACCCAATAGCTATTGGGCACCTACTGTGTGGCTGACATTGTTCTACGCACTGGGGAAAGCCTGGTGAGGAGGATCATTACAATCGTCCAAGAATAATGGTCTCAAAATTGTAAGAGACTGAAAGATCACTATTCGACCCCCTATTATTCATTCATATAACAAATATGTATTGAGAACTTACTATGTGCCAGGCCTATGCTAGGCACTGGGGGTACGATGTGGACAAAACAGATGAGATTCTTGCCCTCATGGAGCTTATAGTCTAGCAGGGAAGGCAGACAAAAAAAAAAATCCCATAAACCAATATATAATTTTGAGCTGTAATAAGGTTATTAAAAGTCCAGCATGCCATCAGTACATATAACAGGGGACCTTTCCAGTCTGAGGAGTCTGGGAAGGCTTGCCTGAGAAAGTGACATTGAGCTCAAATCCGAAGGATGGAGAGGCAGAACCAGGCGAAGGATCAGGGAGGTGGACGAAGTGAGAGAGTAGGTTTAAATGTCAAGGTATGTTCAAGGAATGAGAAGTGGGCAGAGTTCTGACTTCAGCAGGGGAATGCCATGATCAGATTTTCATCTTGAAAAGATCACTTTGCCTCCTGTGTGGAGACCTGACTGAGGAGGAGCAGAGGTACTGCTGTGGTCCAGGCTGGACGTGAGCGTGGCATGGATGAAGGTGAAAGCTCTGGAAATATGGGAAGAGATGAACAGAGACTGACTTAAGATATATTTACAAGGTAGAACTGACTGGGCTTAACGAAGGATTTGTTACAGGAGGTAAGGGACCAGCGAGAGGAAGAAATCAAGAATGACTTTCCATTTATGAATAGCAAAATGAATGGTTGGTTGGTCTTTGCTTGAGCACCTTCTACGAAAACCTTAGATTGCTCGGAGAGAAAGTTTGTGGCAAGATACATGGGTTTTAGAGACAGAGTCCTGAGTTTTAGTACTGGTGCCACTTACTGGCCATGTAAGTTTGGGCAACTCACTTAACCCCTCAGAGCCCTCATCCTTCAGCTCAACATTGACCGAGTTCATACTATGAGCTCGGCACTGAGCTGGTGACAGGGACAGAGAGTGAGACACGGTCTCAGCTCACAAGGAGCTTATACACAGCTCCCTGCAGAGACTCAGGAACAGCTCATCCATCATACCATGCTCGGTGTGACCCAGAGGGACCCACATATGTCGAGGGGGCACAAAGGAGGCCTGGGAAGGGTGTTTTTGAGCTGAGTCTTAAGGTAGTTATGAGGAACTAAGCCACAGGCTGACATCCACTGGGCTAGAAGCCAGACATACAGAGTAGTAGTAAAGTTCCTGGTCTATGGGAACCCTGGGAACGTGAGACTTCAGGGCAGGGTGTGGGGGAAGCCACTCACTGGGGGACAGCTGGAGATACCGCCACTGCCGAAGAAGAACTCATCCTTGTGCACAACTATGGAGGTATGCCTGCAATGCAGAGAAGAGACGGGATAAGCCAGAAAACTTCAAACTGGTCTGAGAAAAAGCAAACACCACACTTCAAGGAGAATAATTTCTGCCCAAGGATAGGACTTACACGGTCAGCAGCCTTATAAAACTAACCAAAGGCATAAATACCATAGATCAGAGTTTCTCAACTTTGGCACTACTAACACTTGGGGCTGGAAAATTCTTTGCTGGGGGGCTGTCCTGTGCATTCTAGAAGCTTAACAGCATCCTGGCCTCCACCCACTAGTTGCCAGTGGCACCCCCCCAATCAGTTGTGACAACCAGACAGGTCTCCAGACACTGCTGAATGTCTCCTGGGGCAGAATAGAACACAGCAGAAGAGGAGTCCCTAGATTCACCCTGATACTGACACACCTTTACTGAAATAAAGCTCTGCAGACTAAGGGGTGTTCCTAGGCAGTTAACAGGAGAGGTTAACCTGGACCATGCTGAGGCAAGACCTGTTTCAGGTGGAAGTGCTCATATTACTCGGTTTGAGTCAAACGAAGCAAAAAGACATTCTGGTCATCCCAAATGTCAGCAGGCTCCAGGAGTCCAGATGGAATACTGACCTATGGTCTCCTCTCATTAATGGAACCGAGAGCTCAGCTACCATCTTGTCTGAAAGGGGTGGATCCAGTGCTGACAGATCACGGCAGATGTGTTTTAAGACAGCCATGTGGAGCCCTTGGGACTTCTGTAGTTAGAAGGCTTGGTCAGGCGTGGGCATGACATCATTCTACCTTTCTTTACGCGAGGGTTTCTCAACCTCAGCACCACTGCCATTTTTTGCTTGGATAATTCTTTGTTGTGAAGGGCTGCCCTGTGCATTGTAGGGTGTTTATAGCAGCATCCTTGGCTTCCGTCCACCCATCAAAAATGTCTCTAGACACTGCCAAATTCCCTGGGGTTGGGGATCGGGGCACAAAATTACCCCTGGTTGAGAACCACTGCTTTAGAACTTGGAAGTTTCATGATACAGAGAGTTAGGTTTCAAGCTGGAAACATAGACTGAAACCTGGACTGCTTTGTTTCATAAACCAGTCAGTCATTGTAAGGAGTCCCACCCAACTTACCAGATGCCTTCCAGTTGTTTCCCTGTAGAGAAAAGAAGAGATTTAGCTACTCAGGACCAGAATAAATGGCCTCCCAGCCTGAGCAAATTCAGAACATCACTCAAACCCACTATAAACCCACTCAAACCCAATTTAACCCACTATAAACCCACTCAAACCCACTTTAACCCACTATAAACCTCTGGGGGGATTTTCCAGGAATGCAATTCTCCTCCAATAAGGTCCTTAGGTCATGATATAGGTATGTCATGTTAAGTAAGTTGAACGATTATCAGAATCCTTCATCAGAATGCAAGATAAAAACACTGGTATAGATGTACCCCAATTTTATGTTTGTTTTTCTTTCCCTGTCAGGGTCAATTCAACTTTGCCTTTAATTTGTCTCACATATAGCGACAACAGTAAAACAATGGTATAAAAAAGCTATTATCCACTTCTTCATTGAGCATATGGGAGGTGAAACCCTTCAGAAAATGGCAGAGCGAAACTTTACAAATGCCGTCCATTTGGAATAGTCAATGCAAATGTATTCTGTACCTCTATATGGCAGAAATGATGTTAGATATGGAAATGAAAGTACGAAGAGATCACTGTCCTGCCTTTAAGGAGCCCAAAGTCAAATGGAAAGAGAGACACACATAACTAAGTAAAACACAATGTTGATAGGTTCTAATTATACAGTGGTAAAAATAAGATGCTATATATGATAAAGATAAGGAACTACCTTCATAAACTGTAATTCAACCCAGGAAAAGTAGGGGCAGGGATGGACGTTTCTGCCAGAGGGAATAGTATGTGCAAACCCACGGTTGTGATAAAGATCAAGGTCCTGCAGGTTAGAACAAAGACTGTAGTGATGGTGACAGGAGGAAAAGTGGTCAGCAAGGATGCCAGGAAAGTAGGGTAAGCCCAGACAGAAGGCTGTCCTACACCGTGGGGGCATTCATGGTTGTTAGGCAGCCAGCAGAGTGCCTTAACCAGATCTATGTTTTTGTTTTTTTTAATGTTTATTTAGTTTTGAGAGGGAGAGAAAGAGAGAGAGAGAGAGAGAGAGAGAGAGAAACATGTGAGCAGGGTAGAGGCAGAGAGAGGAGACACAGAATCTGAAGCAGGCTCCAGGCTCTGAGCTGTCAGCACAGAGCCCAACTCAGGCCTCGAACTCATGAACAGTGAGATCGTGACCTGAGCCGAAGTCCGATGCTTAACCGACTAAGCCGCCCAGGAGCCCCCAGCTCCATGTTTTTAAAAGACAACTACATCTTTTATTTATTTTTTTAATGATTTTTTTAAGTTTATTTATTTTGAGAGAGAGGGAGAGAGAGATAGAACACAAGCAGGGGAGGGGCAGAGAGAGAGGAAGGGAGAGAGAATCCCGAGCTAAGAGCGTGGAGCCTGATTCAGGGCTTGAACTCGCAAACCGTGAGATCATGACCTGGGCTGAAACCAGGAGTGGAACACTTAACTGACTGAGCCTCCCAGGCGGCCCAAGACAATTATATCTTTTAAAAGAGAACTCCTGACGTAGAAGATAAACAGGAGGGCAGGTCATAGAGAGAGCTGACTGGAGTGAGGTCTTTGCAATAGTCCATGGGAGACACTACGTGACAGTGCTAAGGATGACGAGACCCGATGTGAGGCTCAAACTCATGAACTGTGAGATCATGACTTGAGCCGAAACCAAGAGCCAGACGCTTAACCAACGAAGCCACCCAGGTGCCCCAATGCTGTGTCTATTTTACATATAAACATTTCATTCTCTGTTAGTGTTATGAGGCTAAGTGAAGTAACAAGGAAAATCAAATGTAGCAGAGTTCTGTCCGTCCTCCAGTTGGAGGCAAGTCTGCTTTTCACTAAGAGACCGGCTGCTCTGGCCCACGAGGTCACAAATGGGGTTTCTGGGGTAGCCCCCTAAAGGCTGTGGAGCAGGCTCTGCCCTTATTCAAACAGCTCAAATTCCACAGAGGTGGATGTGAAACAGACTGGATGCTGAAGGGGAGTGGTAACCCATTTACGACAAGCATCTTCAAATGGACTGATTAGACGTACATCCTTTCTGAATCTGAACTGCTCCCAAGTTATCCTTATTCTCACATCATCCTTATGTGGTACAGTAGGGCAAATATTTATTACCATCATTTTACAATTTATTACATCATTTTACATATTTACAGGTAAATAAAGATGCATGGTTTGTCCAGCATAAAAGCAAGAAGAAAAAAACACGATATGACAATGTACTTGTGGGAGCAGCTGAGGTAGAAACCCAAGGGCAGCTGTTCAGTAGTCTGTTCTCAGGAGAAAGAAAACAAGGGCCACAGTCTCCTCCCCGCAGGGTGACAGGCATTGGAAAGTGGAACTTAACTGATTTAAAATAAAATTTTTTTTTCCTTCCTCACTGGGGTGGGAGGAGGTGAGTAGGAGGTGGTGATTTGAATTAGGTCACAAGGCCATTTTGGAACATGAATTAAGCTCAGTGGATATTAACACACTACAGAAGCAGATTATTTTCCCACTAGGATGTCCTCAGCAGGCCAGAGAGTGGGTGGGTCAGATGCCTGCATGTCTCCAAGCCTGCCAGCACAGCCAAAGCACTGAATTCAAGGCCTATGAAGGACACAAGTGAAAACAAATGGAAGACATGGAGAACAGCCTTGTTTCCCTCATGAATAACAAAGAATGTAGTGAGGTCTCCATTAGTCAGCATTCCACTGATTGTAAGAGTAGTTAGTATATAAAAGCCAAGGAAAAAATACTCCACCCACCTCATCAATTAACATGGATGGAGCACGTAGACCTACATGTTGGTTGTAGGACACGCTCAAGATCAGCACTTGGAATACTGCTGATGTTTAACCAATGTCTATTAATAAGTATAAGTGATGATGGCGATGGGGCAGCAGGGGCCTCTGTGCAGGTAGCATTAGCTCATTGGTATAAGTCAAATGCAGTGCCAGCTCACTTCCCAAATTTCTCCTCTCATGACAGTATTTTTATTTATTTTATTTTAATTCCGGTATGGTTAACATACAGTGTTATTAATAGTTGCGTGTGGGGGCACCTGGGTGGCACAGTCGGTTGGGCGTCCGACTTCAGCCAGGTCACGATCTCGCGGTCCGGGAGTTCGAGCCCCGCGTCAGGCTCTGGGCTGATGGCTCAGAGCCTGGAGCCTGTTTCCGATTCTGTGTCTCCCTCTCTCTCTGCCCCTCCCCCGTTCATGCTCTGTCTCTCTCTGTCCCAAAAATAAATAAACGTTGAAAAAAAAAAAAA